TTTTTGAAATAATGTTTAATTCACTCAACAGTTGACTCATTTTGTGTTTCTCATTGCTTAAATTACCATATTTTGATGTTTTTTCTCATTTGTTGAAGCTCACCATGCCATGCTAATTTTATTCACTGTATTTTGTGGGGTTTTTTGGTTTTTGGTTTGTATAATAGAAAATATGCCACACACTGTTTGTTGAGTCCAAAGGTCCATTATTGCTAATCTGAAAGATTTTTAAGCCTTTGAGTTTAGCAGCAGCTGTTTTTCACTCCCATTACATGTAAAAGAGTTTTTGTTCTAAAGAACACGAACAGTGTTCCTTGAGTTCATCAATGCACTGTTTTTGTATTCCTTTGCAGCCTAGGCAGATTAACCTAAGGTCTTTTCTTTTATCCACCTCTTTCTTTGTGTCTATTAGTAACAAAATATGATAATGTTGCTCTTACATAAACACTTGGAGCAAGTCATGCTAATCGTTTAGAGGACGGAACTAAACTCGCAGCTTGAGGGGGTTTGATTTCACGGCTGGAATTTGAAATAGTTTTTATACTGTAGCTGACCTTGTTCAAAAACACCTCCTACCTTTTCCCAAGGCCTTGACACTTGAACTAGAAAATCTGTGCTGGAATGATACAGGAAAAATCACCACTGTTTCAAATGTATTTGTTTGAACACAGAGCCAAATTCAGCCGTAATCCTGGCAGGAGTGAGCCATCTCAGTGCCCAGTACTTCCCAGTGCATTTGTACTGGGCTCTCTGCCTTTACAGCTTCCCATTTAAAAAATAGATATGTGTTTTTGCTGAGGATGTAAAGAATATGAAGATAACTACAGAAGCACGGAAGCTTCAAAACCTAAATAAACCAGTTACATCACATTAAAGTCCTGTTTGCATCAGTAACTTGACCAGCCAAACAGCAGTGTGTGAGCATGTCTTCTTTGTTGTTCTGGAATCCCACATGTTCCATGTTCGGCCAAAAATATCAGCTAATTTTGAACTTAACCACCATATGAAGCTGCTGCTTTACCACTTTCCCTTCCCAACAAAACCGTATCTGTTCCGTGAGTTAAATCACTCGGTGAGTGCTCGCCTTAATGCTTTCAATGCTCCTGAGTGGGCACAGCTCAAATCCATTCACTTGAGACTACAATCAGCATTCCATCAAGTCAGTAAGGTGCTGATTTAAACCTAAGAGGAGGGAGGCGGAAGGTTTCAGAAAGAAATTGTGGGTAATCATGGATGTGTGCATGTGAGTGTATCTTTTTCTGCATGTGTGTGACGGGTTGCAGTCGTCACAGATTTCAGGTCTTGGTAAATTTTAGTGGAGATGGAAGAGATTAGGCTGGAGCTATCGGATTGTGGCTTTTCAGCCTCAGAGCTCGGCAGCCGGTTTGCGCGACTTCTCTCAAAGAATGAGAAACTTAATGGATCAACCCTGACTTTTTTTTTTCTTAGCTCTTAGATCCAAGTGCGGGAAAGAAGAGCAAAAGGAGTAAAAGTAAAAATCCTGGGGTGTAGAGGAAATGATTTAAGGGGAAGGAGTTGGAGGTGATTGCTCTTGTAGTGGAGGTGAGACGTTAGGATGGGAAGACAAGTGAGAAAATCAGGCAGATGGGGCGTGTGTGAGAGAGATGAGCTTTAGATTTATAGCAGACTGAGGCTGCACTCATAATGTTCTGACAGGCCATCCAGCAGGCAAAGCCACACTTGAAGCTACTTATTCCAACCAGCTGCCATCGCGAACATTTCACTGCCACTGTGAGCATTTGAACATTTGCATTTCCAGTGAAATGCATTTCACTTTGGTCACATGAAAGTGCCTCCCTTTCTGTTTCACTGAGGACGACGCTTAAAAGCCATTTTTTTAACAAGTTGATCCCGGCTGCGTCAGTAACCACACGGTCCTCTCAGTCAGTCACGGTCTTCGGTTATTTATCAAAGATTATATCAGGCGATTCGCATCTGTATCAAATACGAATCTAATTCCATTAAAGCTTAAATATTCATGGCTAAAAAACATCATTATTATATTTGTTTGAGGGAAGTTTGTACTGGACAATTCTGCGTGCTCATGCAAGTGCTAGGATTCAAGGTCAGGGCAGGAAGTCATTGCCAGTGTCAGGAAGAATGAGACAAATAAAAGTCCAGCTCTCATCTTTTGCAGTGCGAAAAACTCGTCAATATGGAGAGTTCAGCTTCGATACACCCAGTGTCTAGATTTTCACATCCCAGTCTGTAAGCGTTCAATGGGAACAGTCTCACTGGCTCAAGACGTTCTTTGTCGATGATTTTTGGATGACAGCTAAAGCATTCAATGGGAATGAGCCACGAAGGCGTAAAATATGAGTGGCTGGACAGAGCAGACAGAGGTCTGTGCCCTACCTAAACTCCATTTTCACTGATCAAATGATTTAATTGCCTGAACATAATCACACCCTAGCCAAATGTTATTATTAGTCACATAAATGTAATGCACAGACAGGAACATTTGCACGGATAATCTCTTTTTTTTCAGTAATTTGGATCTTCTCCAAAGCCTCATACTTGTAAGAAAAAGATGTAAAGGAGAAATTGTGAAAAGGCTAAAACCTGAGTTTTAGTACCTGCTGTGGTCACTCTGAAAACCTTCTCAAACTGCAACCCAACAATGGCTTGCTTGACCCTTCAAACTCTCAATCCATAGTTCATAATAGAGGTTTCTTATACAAAAGAAATCCTTAACCCTGCACTGAGAACATGTGTCATTGAGAATAAAGATGGGTATTTGCAGAGCTGTGCTGTACTAATATAAGCACACTTGGCTCGCCTTGATAATATTATCAGCAGCAGACTTGGGCTTGAATCTACAGTCATATTCAAATCAGGCCCCTTAATATGTGGATAAGAAAAAACAACTCAAAAAACACTGTTAAAGTTTTAAAAGGTAAATATCATAATAAATGGAGGCTGAGATACTGTAATACACCACACACTCCAAATAATACTAGTTAATTTCTCACTTACCACTAAATGCCATTAAAGTCTTCATTAAATAAAAACTTATTCAGATATAATTTCTGTTTCCTTTCTTTTACAATCCCCGGAAAGTGCCCATAACTTAAAAAATAATTTGTTTCTTCGTTCCTTTAAAGCTTCCAGTTGCCAGGCCCTCATGTATTTTTTAGGAGGAAAAAAATTACACCTTGAATTCTGTAAAATTACATGGTAATTGTTGTGAAAATTGCACCGTAATTACACAGGGCTTATTATTAAGTGCTAACCTTTTTTATATTAACTCAGATATTCCTGCGAGCGCTACGAAATTCCCAGGCCCGAGGACGTGTTCTGATTTTCTCTGCATTTTAAAGGAGTGGGTTGAATATCATCTCCATATTAAATAGATCACACATTATAATTTCCTCCGAGGTCCTTGCGGGGTTTTCAGATCCACTGAGGCCGGGATTTTGTTTGATTGAGTGCAGTCTTTGTTTCTTCAAATGGTGCGCGCAGGATTAAGGCAGGAGCCTAGAATTGGTAATGTGAGCTAACAAGCGAGCGGTGAAAGGAGAAAAGTGATACCTCAGTTTAAGTAAGATCGTTTATCGGGGTTGTCTGTGTGGCTTCCTTGTCTGCTTCGCTGTTTTCATTATCACCGGGCTGTAAAGGCTCCGCTAAAAAAAAAATACATCTTTTCGCCCGTTTGAGGTGAAAGCGAGGCAGAAGGGTTTGCTTGTTAGAGGTGAAGGCGAACCATGTTCACTTGAGTGATTTAAAGGAACTCAAAATGAATAATCTTTGCAGTGCAGTCTTGTATTTTTAATTTGGAGCCATAATTTCGCTGTTTCACATCATGTGAAGGAACAATGCTTCCACCTTCAACGCTTTAAATAAGAGCAATGTCCTCCTTTAATAACAGGACATTTACTCGTTTTTCTAATTATTCTTTTATTAATCATGTATTCCAATCGTCCCCAGAGGCAACAAGGCATATGTGTGATTCCAGACCGTGTGTGCGTTCCAGGAATGTTTGCTTGTCCAATGACCAGACTGTGCCCTCTAACATCATGTCTGTTTGTTTGCTTGTTTGTTTGTTTGTTTGTTTTCCTCTTTTTTGCTCCCCCAGAGACTAAACAATGCCTGCAATCTTGTTTATTTGGCTATTTGTTTTGCAGCTCTCTTCGCCTTAACTCACAGGGTAGTCGGGATAAGGTGCCTGCCCCAAGGTTAGCTCCACATGTTTCTTGAAATAATCTTGCTTGACATGTACTGCTGGGGGCACATCCTCTGAATCCTGTGCTCACTCACTTATTTATAGAGCCAAGCCCACACCCGCTTCCAAAACCAGTAACACCTCTCCACCCCTTGGCAGTAACCATCTTCTTCCCTCTGGCCTCAGTTCTGCGCAAACAGCTTGCACTCTGCAGACCCTGTGTCAGCTGAACCCAGTGTCTAACAGGAACTTTTCCCAAGTTCTTTGGTAACTTTTTAATATTCAAACACCCCTCTGGTCAATCCATTGGAATACTAATGAGCCCCTTAAAGCTTAAATCCATAATGTTTCTTAAATTTGATATCAGTAATAGGGCTCTTCAAGCATTTATGATGCAGCATTATTAACAGAACATGTGCCGCAACTTGTCAGTGTAAGAACTTTGGATGGGTTTATATTTCCCTAATAAATAGGATACTCACCACAGCATCGCCTAGTCAATTATCCCAAGGTCGAGCATCGTCAGATGCTCCTTATAGGAACGGTGAACTTATTAGGCAAACGGATGGAGTTTGATCATATTCAGAATTAAAATTACAAATATTCCTTATTATAGTGTCTCAATTTTCAGAATTGCCTTTCCTGATCTCAGTTGGCTTTATATGTCATTAATCAAAAAGAAACAAGCCGCAAGTTATCCCTTACTTGCTAGTAATTACTTCCACGTTAGGTTGATGGACCGATGTGTTACACTAACACGAGGCTTATTCGCCATAAACAGTCCACATAAGGATCAGTAGCAAGTCTCTTGAGTCCGGAGGAATGGCTGATGTAAACCAAAGTGAAAGTGTGTCATCACTTGACGTGTTTTGATGGCGTTCAAGGAACGAGGATTACACTCACTATGTTTGGCCTTCCAGCTGGCGGGGCCATTTTTAGTGCTCCCTGTCCTTTGCTGTGGCTAATGAACACCGGTCATTATCCTGATCTCTCTGCCAGGCCAGAGGCTTAAAAATACCCTCAAAGGCAAAGCCTGTTGATGGTTGCCTCTGATCTTTCCAATCAAGTCCTCCTCCTTGGAGGGGAGTAACAACACAGAGCATTCACTTGGCTGCTCTCTAACGAAGACATCAGTAGCTGCTTTCATTTAATCTGCCGACCAGACCGGGGTCTAACAAACTTCTGCTTCCGGAAGAGCGCAGCACGTTTCATGTCCTCCAACAAGAATGGGCCACTTTTAATTTGTAAATGTGAACTTTGACTGCTCGGTGTGTTAACAACCCGACTCATATCACAAGCTCAAAGTTGGCTTACATTGCTTTTCATTCTGTTCAGTCACGGAGCCTAATAAAGTGGAATGAGTCGTGAGTAGTTATCTAGATCAGTTAAAGGAATCATATCATACCTTGTTCTCTTTGAATTCCTGCACCTGAGTAACTAAAGTTACTGTTTTTTATGAATAGGTCAGGTTAGCTGCAAATTCTGAAAGATGTAACTCAATTCTTAGCGTACGGATTTCACTTAGAGAGAGTCTTCAACCATTTCTACGTTTGTATCAGGCGTCAGTCGGTGCGCTGAAGTTATATTTATCTCATATCTATCATTTGAAACAGAGAGCAGTTAGATCAAAATATATTTTATGTTAAATATACATACAAATACCCAGTGTCACAGGACTTTATTCCATTATATTTTTAAGAGGAAACACAGCATGGTGGCATGAGCTAACCTAAATTCAGCTGATCTGTCAGTTTTTTTAACTTGTAATATCACAGACAGCTACAAGTATTTCAGTCTCCTACTGAGCTTTGGAAATTCCAGATTAATCATGGAATTTATTTTTATCAAAACCTGAATTTCAGGATCACTTTCTTCTTTGATTGTTTTTAAAAACATACTCACTGATACCCGAAGAAACACATATATAAACAAATATATGTGACGTCTTTGGTCTTTTGTCCGACCATTCAACCAAGCTGAAATCAGTTAAGCTGTGTTTGAGCTAAAACTGTCAGAGATCGGACTGGTTAAGGCGAGAGATAAATCCTCCGTGATGCAGGTTATTTGCTGGATTTAGTGAGGGGTTGCAATGCTGTATGCAGGACATCACCAAAACAAGCATGCCCTGCATCTTTATCAGCACAAATAAGCTCAGTATACCATCACATCCTTCCAGATAAACAACAGACTGGCTGGTGGGATGAATACTATCCAAGAGAACATCTCTCTCGCTCCCTAAACACGCACACTCACAGACTCGGGTGTACTGCTTCTTCTGCCACACTGGTAATTAAGTCCTCTGATGGTATTGTATTATGACATAATTAATGAAGCTTTTAATGAAAATTAGTAACACTCGGTGTATCAGAAGTGCTTAGCAGCAAGCTGCAGCAAGCGCAGTAAGATAAGCAGGGCAAGCCTCCAGCTCACTGAGACAGTACAGAGCCAGGGAAGCTCTAATTCCACGTCTCTGTACACAATCAAAGTATCAACTATCCACGCACTATGTAAGATCTCTTTAATGAGAAACTAATTATAATCTGCTATTTTGGGGCTTAATTGTTTCAGTTTCGCTCTAAGAGGGAAATATTATTCACCTAGGTAATCCTTGTTGGCGGCATGCCAGAGTAAATATCAGCGCTGCATTTTAAAGCCACAAGAATCTAAATTTTGCCGGGTGTAAAAAAGGTCAAACGTCTCATTTATTTTCTACAGTGGGAAATAATTTAATATCAGCAAGGACAACAAAACCTCTTCCGAATCCTGCGCTGTGCAAAGTAAAAAAACAACTACTATGTGGTTAGCTGAAAATGGCTTTTCCACTATCATTAGTCAATGATAATATGACTGTCACACGAGGAGAAACACACACATTTCCTATATGAATGAGGCATCGCGCTGTCTTTTTGCTGTAACTTGGGAGTAAATTTACAGCCAAGGGGTTGTGGAAGTCAAAAAGCAGTAGGATTAAGTGCTTTGTCATCCTGATCTGGTACACGTAGTCTTCCAGGGCGCTGCGCTGATCTGTCTCTTCCCTTCTGAATCCCCCTTTAACCAGCTGTGTGCCAGCCTGGCTGTAAGCATGGAGACTGCGTGGGACCCAATAAGTGCAAGTGCCATCCTGGTTTCACTGGGAAAACCTGCAATCAAGGTGAGCAATCGACCGAAGCTTGCAGCCGCTTTCATAACTCTGACCGTGATGTTGTTTTGCCATTTGACGTGACTTATCTGTTCCTCGCAGTGCACTGAAATAGAAACATAAACCACAAAGAAAGCAGGGAGAGTCTGGAAATATTGTCCCCACCCACTAAGCAACGGGCCTGCTGACGTGCGCATCTTTCCTAAAGAAAACTAAGTGAAGGAGAACCTCTGCCTTGAGTGATGTCAGCGTAATCACTGTTTATTGCAGCCAAATCTCCACAGTAGAACATCAGCGCTGTAAAGCTGCCACAGGAGCGGAAGCTGGTTTGCATCAGCTGACAATAGTGAGGTGCTTTAATCACAGGGCAGGAGGTGGACCGCGGGGGCTGATTCAGCTCAAATGGAAATGAGTGGTGAAGCTGTGTTGAATGATCCCTGGAGTGCATCCTCTCCTGTGAAGATAACATCTCAATTACTGACCTGAGATAACTTGGACCGACTGAGTGCAACCAATGCTATTTGAAGGCGTTTGTTTGTTTGCGTGTGTGTGTGTGTGTGCTGGTCGGTGGATGAGAGTGGGCAGGGGTGGGGGAGGTCTGGAGTTTTTGTGCCTTTACACTTTGGGCACGTTGAAAAGCATTAAAGCTTCCCCAGTTAGCTCCGAGTTGACCTGCATCCAAGCAGCTTGAAAATACTTGTGGAATTCACGCCCTGAGACGGGAATAGGATAGTGTGTAATTAAAAACAAGGGGGAGGGAGGGGGGTGGGGGTGTTGAAATCCTTTCCGGAATGTTCCAAATGACTCATCCTGCATTTCAGGGCTATAGGTGGCTCCTGTCTGCCTGGGCCAGACGGGTCTACTTTGTCTCAATCTGCAACAAAGAGGAGGAAAGTAAAAGGATACGGTATCCAAGCGCGGCAGACTTCGCTGCCAACCGTTCAGACAGACTTATCTGACAAAAGCGATTCCGAGACCTTTCAAGATGAAATTGTACTTTCAAGCGTCTGCCGAACTCCCATTTTTCCAATAAGCTCGTGACGTTTTACTTAGCTCTGAGTGGCAGACTTGACCTTTCAGCCTGCGTAGGTGCTGATAACCCCGCATTCTCTGCCGCGCTGCCCCATGCTATGGAAACCAATTTAATTATTCAGGGGCCGGAGATTAGATTTTCTCATTTAAATGCAGCGTCGGTCAAACATTGATTTGAGGTGTACTATTGATGTGCCAGGTGGCCAGTGTTTTGAAGCATTCTAATATCCTGTCCCTCTGGAGTGCAGTATTTATCTCGAGGAGGAAAGAAATAAGAGGCCCCGAGCTGCTTCTCGGACCTCGATGTTGCTAAAGGTCAAGCAGTCTCCCCGAGAGCTTTTAAATCAGATTATAATCTGTAAATTTGTTTTGAGGAAAACGGCGTCTCCTGGGGAGTTGCACGATAAGTGCAGCCGGTGGTCAAACTCGTTAAGAGGCTAAATACTCGACTTAAGTACCTATATTTGAATAACTCAATTTTATGCCCTGCTTGTGCTTCTAAAAGGAGGTGAACATTTATCTATATTTATCTGTCTGCAAATCGCTGATAACATTTTAAAGAGACAAATTTAACACTTAGAAAATTGAGCGACTTTTTCAACTTTTGTCCAGCAGTTTCCTAGTTTGTGTCCCTTAAAAAGGTCATTACCTCGCCTTCGGTGCCCATGTGACCTTATCACACCAACAAAAATTCACTGACTGCAAATGATAATAGCTACCATTTTATTTTTTAAAAAGAGATTACGACAGGAAAATGTGCACAAGTGTGGACATCAGTGGTGACTACACAAATTTATTTTAAGTGGGATGTGCGTACGAGTTTGCCACCCTGGAGGCTCGGATTGATGAACAAGAGTGTTGAACACCTTAGAAACACTGTTTGTTTGGAGCAAAAGCAAACCACAGACAGTCAGTGTTTACAGTAAACACGATCACAGAAGCTGTCCATGTCCAATATTTTTATATTTTTATATACCTTGTTTGTTTTTGGGTTTGGTTTTTTTTACTGCCAAATTCTTTGGCCTTAACTCTCGTCGCAGCTCCTATACAGAAAATATCCCACGATCTGAACGGGATATAATTTAAATGAATGTGATTATTTTTCACCATTAACCTGACGGGCACTCGGCTGTCAAGAAAAACAGCGGCTACTCTGAGAATCCAAACAGAATCGTTTTGAGAACGCGCCTCACGCTCGGTGCTGATGAGAATTGTTGCTGTCATTCAGCGTAGTGATAGATGAGCATGCTGTCGCTGCACAAATAAACTCATTATAAGGATAATCTGTTTAACAGTTTGGCAGCAAACTCCCCCTGCTGATCCAATCATTTTAATAAGATGATTATTCCATGCAGGTGGATTTAATTAGGTGTAGTTGACCTGCTGTTAAGACACTATTAAAAGATTTTGCTGGAGGATCCACGTCTCAGACATCAGAAGGAATACAGCTGCGGAGATGCTTCCAGATGCTCCTCGTCTGTCAGCCAGATACATAATTAATACCACTTTAAGTGTGATAGCCTAATACTGCTGCTGCAGCATATATACAGTTTACTTCTAGATCTGTTTTCAGAATATTAGTTATTATCTGGATCTCTCACTGCTTTATCTTGGCAAAGCCGCAGAAAAGAGCACGAACACTTTGACTAATCCCCATGCGAATTTAATTCAGTGTAGGTGTAGACAGATACTTCAGGGCTGTAGGTTTAGAAACCGATCCCTCTCTGTCACTGTTTGTCTTTCTGGCTGTCTGCTATTAGCAGCTAAACAGCTGCAAGTATTTAAAGTATTACATGCATGTCATCATACTGTGTATTTACACTCAGTTGTCTGGCTATTACTCCAGATTCCTTTTATCTGTGTTCTCTTTAAGGTCACCAAAGAGGCAAGAAGTAATGTTTGACCTGAGTTAACTCCTGTGAGTTTGAAGTATATGTGATTAGAAACCATCCCCTGCTAAGATTTCCTTCTGATATTCATTGTAGTGATGAAGATATTTTTCCATTAAGAATGATGCAACACAGGTTGAACACATATGATTGAAGAAATGATATCACATCACACACTAAAGCAGCCAGATGGTGGCTTGCAGAACTGTCCTATTACAATTAACAGCGCATGGAGAATGGAAGAAAGTTATCACACAGAGACAGCAGAGAATGAGCCTTGAAATCACAGTGGCTGCTAAAGGATCGCTCACTGATTGACCTCCAGAGTCTTTATGGATATTTTCATTTACTTAATACCATTTGCAGAAATACTTTTTTTCTGGTACTTTTCCGGTAAATCCACTGATTCTCCCACTAAGTTTAACTTTTTCCACTCACCATCAACTTTAGGTACACCTGTTGAACTGCTAGCTAATGCAAATATCTCATCAGCTAATCACATGGTAGTGGCTCAGTTCATTTAGGTAGGTATGCAGACATGGTCACGATAACTCATTGGCGTAACTTTGTGCTGAACATTGGGGGGGGAGTCAAGATCTCTGTCTAAATAAATAAATAAATCTGGGTAAATTCCCAGATGATTAAACATGGAACTATTTTGCTGGTAATACTTGAAACGAGCAAAGAACATCAACAGCCTATTTATTTAATTCATAATTTTATTGGGGGATTATATTGGTTGGGTCGGATTATTGGGGAGGGGTCATAATCCCCCTGGAAGTTACGCCCCTGCGATAACTGCTGAAGTTCAAAGCGAGGATCAGAATGGGAAAGAAAGACAGAAGAGAAGAGCATCTTTGAACATAAACACACTGAATGAGTTTCAGCAGCAGAAGGCTACACCGTGTGCCACTCAGCTAAAGGTTTGGAATGGAGGGTACAGTTCATGCAGGCTCACCAAATTTGGACATGAGAAGACTGAAAAAATATTGCTTGGTCTCATAAGTCTTGATTTCTGCTGAGACATTTAGATAATTGGGTCAGAATGTGCCGTAAAGAACATGAAAGCATGGGTCCCGCGCTGTATCAATGGTTCAGGCTGTGGGTGTAATGGTCTGAGGGATATTTTCTTGTTACACCGTGATCCTCAGCCTAGTATTGTTCCTGACTACGTCCATCCCTTTATGACCGCAGTGTACCCATCTGCTGATACCTATTTCCCAGCATCACTAGATGGGTACACCATAATGATTTGTCACAAACCTCAAAGCATCTCAAATTGGTTTCTTGAACATGACAATGAGTTCCCTGTACTCGAATGACCTCCACTGTCACCAACTCTCAATTCTATACAGTGCTTTTGTTATGTGAACAGGAGATTCACATCGTGAATGCGCAGACGACAAATATGCAGCAACTGTGTGATGCTATCATGTTAACCTGATGTTTCCAGCACTTTTTTGAATCTCAGAAAGCAACAGGTCATCCAACTCAGTACTAGGAAGTTGTACCTAAAAATGTGGCCAGTGGGTGCAGTACAGGCATCTACACCCTGAGGTGGCAGCTCAGTAGCTAAATTGTTCGTGGGTTTATTCTTCTTGTTTTTCCCCATTTTATGACTGGAGCTGCCCACTATGTTCCTGTCCAGCACATAGTTACAGCCTTATTAGAGATGTATTCTCCATAAACTTATGTAATGATTACTATCAGTAATAATATATCTCTACATCTTTAGTTCCAATAAAAACAGCTGCATGCCATTTGTCTATAAATGAAGACAAACTGAAAACTGATTGTTTTTGTAGTGAAGGTTTGTTTCTTCTTCCAGTGCCCGTTCATCGTGTCTATTTACAGAAAAGTTCAGCTACAAATGCTTCCGTCTTAAGCAGAGTTGGCAGTGCGGCTGCTTGCGTAACCTCTCAGTTTAGATTTTTGTATTCCTCGGTCGAGAAATGCTCGGATGATATGGAGCATGCAGAAACAGTCGGAGCTAGTTGTATCATCTTCCTGTCACTTAACAATAGGTGTTGTTAGCCCAGTGCCGGAGGAAAGGTTGCTTGAATGATAGATGGTTAGGCAGGAAGGGGAGGG